TGCTTGCCTCATATTTTCTGCAGTATAAAATGAATGCTTCAATATAAAAATCTATTCCCATTTAAATAAACAAAAACAAAAAAAAATAAAATAATAAAAAAAAAATAATAAAAAGGATATCATTCTGCTATCAACATTCTTACATGCATAAGTGCCATTAAAATACCAAACTGATGAACTCAACCATCACAGGTTATTACCTAATTTAATCTATATATACCTGGGGTAGCGCTAACACTCGCCAATTTAGCCAAATGCTAAAAATTAATTAAACTGGCTAAACAAAAAGGGCTTGATTTGAATCATTTTAGTCAAATTAACACCATTTGGATAACAAATTGACAAAAAAGTGATGATTTGGCTAAGCAAAAAAATTTGCTAGCGCTACCCCAGCATACATCACACATTTGACACAAGGGTGGAAAAAGTCATTTTATAAGTAAACAACCCACACTGTAGAGATGATTCACACATCAGGTTAGAGTACACGTCTTCAGGACGACTGACAAAACATAATCATTTTATGGGCTCCAGTTAAGAAAGCAATGCCATAATTTGAGATAGAATCAGAGTTAGGGTAATATTATAGGCCAGCATGGTTTTAAATATCATGCAAGTTCAAATTTCAAAATGCCAATTCATAAGAGGGAAAAATATGCTTGTTGCAAGCACGTAAAATGATGACACATTATCATTTAAACTGGTTATATATACTGTTTGTGTGATGGAATTTAAATTGGCTGGCATTAGTCATACAGCTCAAAAGAAAAGATCACTTCTATAACACTTATTGCGTAGGTGAGGTAGCAATATTAATATGCATAAAGCCATTGAATGTACATATGTCCTGTAATTGTACTGCAACACCCACCCACTAAAATATTTAATATGTGGCTGTCTGGAGCTTACTCCCAGTGATTTTCTACTATCTCAAATATATTAAAACAATAATTCTTACAATTAATTCAACTAAAAAAAATTGCTTCACAGCTGCTTTATCTTTATGGAAAAATTACTGTGCGCTTGAAGAGTTAAATTATTTTAAAAACATTATGGTGAAATTTTGAAATAAGGTTTGGTGGGAATGATTTAACATAACAGCTAGGCCCATATGGGGGGGGGGGGTTAAGATCCTCCCTTTTTGCCAGGAAAAGTTTCCGTCTGGGTAAAATTTTATCTCGGTATATGAAGGTTTTCAGGTGAAAGGTCCACCTCTTCAGAAAAAGATACCTCCCCTCCCTTTTAAAATTGCTGACTAGGGGCCTGCACAAGTACTCACTTACTATACATCTTTAGAAAGAGTGAAATTTATTGCCAATGTCACCACATATCTGTCCATCACAGTGGTTTATTACCTAGCTGTGTCTGCACACATGACAGTGTGTATGTCTATGTGTACATGAAAAACGTGCTTACAAGTTATATATGTTTGTGTGTGTGTGTGTGTGTGTATGTGTGTCTGTTTGGGTATGTCTTTGTGTATGAGTCTATGCTGTGTGCATCGATCGTGTGCATGCATGCATGCAGTTATGAGTACATGTATGTACGTGACAGCATGCATGTGACAATTAAGTTGTCAATATCCTTATACTAACAACCATCAAGAAATTGTGTTAAATGCAATCAACAAATCATAATTTATGCAATCATAAATAAAATCTTTTACCTGATTAATTAAATCATAAATTGAAAAAAAAAAAAAAAAAACTTACCCAACCCCCTTTCTCAACAAGCCAGTAAACAACATTCCTTTCTATAAAAAACACAAAGTTTTCGATAAGAGGCGCAACGAACTCGGCGTGGCCTTGTTTGACACAGTCTTCAGCGAAAACGCCCGCCAAGGCAAACAGAGATACCACCTTCCCCCAAGTTAAGCCGTTTTTTATCAGCTGTTCGGCGACGTCCGTATACAAGGACTTCACAGTCGCCTCATTGCTAAATGTAGTGTTTAGCTGGCGCGAAATCTCACTGTACAAGTTCGGATACATTTTCTCCAACTCTTGTCCGATTCTCTGGATTTCAATGGAGGTGTCGGAGAACTTTTCAGGAGCTTGGCCCAACTTTTTTGAAGCGACTCCATCTCGCTTAAGCCGGTTGTGGATGTAGTCCCTGCAGAGCGTTCTTCCCTGTTCGGCGATCTCTTTCTCCGTTTCCATCTTGCGCTCTGAAAACCCTGTTTTCCCGTCGACCTCCAACGCGAGTTATGGAACCATCCGAGATGATTAATACACTTTGAAGCTGAAATAAATAGGCGGCCGACTTCTCCCACGAACAAACACCTGTTCCGCCTGTTTCTAGGTCAAGGTCAGCGACGCAATCGAAATAAACAAGCAGGTGACACTCTAGCGCATCTAACACAATCAGACTAAATAACGTAAACGATTGGGACGACTCGAACCTCTTGGCGATTCCTCTATGAAATCTTTTTTTCCCCGTCTTTTCATTTCGTAGTCTTGTAGGGGATGGGGGCACCGATTTTAAACTAAAGGTACTCTTATTGTGAGTCTTTCATAAGTTCTACTGATATTTTAAATTATATTAAAATCCATGGAAGTTTGCGCGAAAAATATTAACTTAGGCTTCGTTCACATGGAATGTCTATTTTCTAAAAATCTATTTTCTATTCGCACTATCTTATGATCACGGTCTGTGCCCTGAATATCCCGCGGCGTAATTACTGGCAGCGCGAGCCAGTTACTTATAGAAACTTATGGTAACTGGCTCGCGCTGCCAGTAATTACGCCGCGGGATATTAAGGGCACAGACCGTGATCATAAGACATACCGCGAATAGAAAATAGAATTTAGAAAATAGACATTGTATGTGAATGAAGCCTTAAACTATTTCAGTGAACACGCCTTCATATAAAAAAAAATAAAGAAAAAAAAATTGGTAATGCTGATAGAAAGTAACATATATTAAATATAAATCATGCTGGGTATGCATTTGAAAATGCAGGACGCAAGCACAAAAGCACACTCATGCAGGAACTTGAAAAATAAAATTGAACACTTCATTGACAATTAAGCATATATTCTCAAATTCTTAACAATTAACATCAGACTGCAGTATATCCTACATTCACCTTTCAATATAAAGGTAGATAAAACTTCTTTTGAATAATTTCAAACAAATATGTTAAAATAAGACGATGTTATAAGTCTTAATGAAAAATGCAGTCTGTTCTTTTTTTTTTTCTTTTTACTTGACAAATAAATCCTCTATTCTGCAAGGAAAAATATTCAAGCTCAGATTTAAACAGCAATGAGATACAATTCGTACCAAATAACTGCCTTGAAAACCTGCTTTAAATTTTTATCAAGAAGTAAAATATCTAATTCTAAGATGAACAGAGGTCACAATATTGAAAGCCAGAGATACATCAGATCACAAAAATTAAATAAATGAAAATACAAGGTTGCACAGAAAAACCAACCTTCATATTCTTTTCCTTACAAAGTTTCTGAATTTTCTGAACCTGTGCAGTATACACCCTCTGAGTAGATCAAAAATTAGTTCTTACACAGCCACATCTTAGATATTGTGAACTTCCTTCTGGTTCAAATCCTTTCTGATTCACATTTGGCTGCTACAGCATCATGACATTTACTTTATATATAGGTAAGTGTGGTCTTAAAATAAATAAATAAATAAATAAACGGGAGCTGTTTGTGTGCAGAGTACACCCCATGTCTTTCATTCAAATCCACAAAATAATGCATTACTTTTGCCAATTCTGAACCAGGAAACATTGTAGTTTTTATGAAATAAAATACTCTTTGTCCCAGTTCTGTAAGCTTTTTGCACTGAAATCACATGAAATGAAAACTGAACACTCCTGATATGATGATGAGACTGATGATGATGATGTGGTGTATGAAGATCTTTCCCTATTTGTGGGCATCTAACAAGTCTTTGGCTTCGTTTATTTTTGCTGCCAGATAGGGGGAGCCACCTGCAAAATAAAAAGGCAAAGAATTCTGGTGAAATCTGTGCTGATTATTACTTGAGCAGAAGTATGAAAAGAAACATCTGACAGGATTGAAAGATAACAAGCCAACAAATGCTTAAAGATTATAAACCGTAAAATCCACACTAATAGAAGACAACTTCTTATGCACAAATGTCCCGAATCACAAAACTAAACTCTGGTGACTTTATTTAACAGGAACATTATTTTGAATAACTTCTTTTGACTTACAACTGAGTACTGAACACCCTCATTTCCAGATGAAAAGGAAGATGGCTGACAGTTTGGGGGAGAGAAGGAAGAAAGTAACTGATACAATTGGTGGTGTTTTGGGGGCAAATTCCACCCCTTTAATCCTCTCCTTACTTACAAACCCCCTTTTTTTAGAGCAGAGTAAGGCCAATTTATTTCAGTTATCCTTGCACTTGAAAGAGAAAGTAGAGGATTGGCAGGCAATGTGCACTTTTCAATTTTTCAACAGCCATCGGCCACCTTCGTCAGGAGTAATATAACACTTCCACACAGCTTAATGTACTCTAAGCTGCGTGGGGATGATTCCCAATGAAGACGACTGTTAGACATTTATCTTATATATATATAAGATAAATGTCTAACAGTCGTCTTCATTGGGAATCATCCACACGCAGCTTAGAGTACATTAAGCTGTGTGGAAGTGTTATATTACTCCTGACGAAGGTGGCCGATGGCTGTTGAAAAATTGAAAAGTGCACATTGCCTGCCAATCCTCTACTTTCTCTTTCAAGTGCAAGGATAACTGAAATAAATTGGCCTTACTCTGCTCTAAAAAAAGGGGGTTTGTAAGTAAGGAGAGGATTAAAGGGGTGGAATTTGCCCCCAAAACACCACCAATTGTATCAGTTACTTTCTTCCTTCTCTCCCCCAAACTGTCAGCCATCTTCCTTTTTATCTGGAAATGAGGGTGTTCAGTACTCAGTTGTAAGTCAAAAGAAGTTATTCAAAATAATGTTCCTGTNATATATAACAATACTAGTATATAAAATGTGTAATATCTTCACAAAAACTATTTTAAAACTGGGAAATGTAACATATAACCAATTGATAAGACTGTATACATGTATTTCCTCTTCCTAATTTTATCTGTTTTTACTTTCATGGATGATCTATTTTTTTTTTCTTTTTGACCTTAGAAGTTGACAACATAAAAAAGGTTCATATCTTGAGATTGAAAATGATCAACATGTTACTAAAGTGCTGAAGTGAACCTACCTGACTCCTAGAATGAGAGAGGCTTCCCTCTTTGTCATCTTGGCATCAAAGCCTCCCCTGTAGTATTTGCTTCCTGCCTGTAATGTGATGAAAACAGAAACATTTTATACGTGTTTATATTCAACTGATACAGAAAACAAATGACTGATACTGTTACAGTAAAATTTGAGAGGGAATAAAGTGAGAAAATGTTATGGCTGGCTAGTCCATAAGGGCGAAAGGTGAAATTAAGTAGCTTGCTGGTGACCCGTAGATCACTCAAGTCAACCTCTCCTCCCTGTGGTACACCCTGGAAACTAGGTCCTAGCGGGCCTAGGCTAACGAGGGTCTGGCTAAGGGAAGGAAAACCCTGATATATAAAACCTACCGCAGGGGGCCAACAACCCTCCCGGTTCAAATGACTGTCACAGAAGCCACAGATACTTGTGGCCTTATGTCCCACACGGGACGAAGAGGAATGATGATGAAGTGTGAAAATAGGAAAACCTTTTCATTATTTTTGGCATAAATAATCTATATTTATCTCTATAAAATTAATTTTCACATACTTTTTACTAACATTTTTTTCATTTATGCTGGCAGGTATGATCAAACGGTAATTCCTATACTTACAGCAGTAGGAAGGGCATCAATTTGTTTTTTCAGCATTTCCCCTGCAACTTTGCCATGTTTTGCTGCATAGCGACCTGGAATAAATAATATGTGACTAGATTATTCAAAAGGTTTTATACTTATGTTTTATCCTTTCAATCATTTATTAATGCCTGTGTGTATGTGTGTGTAAGAGAGAGAGAGAGAGAGGGAGAGAGAGAGAGAGAGAGAGAGGGAGAGAGAGAGAGAGAGAGGGAGAGAGAGGGGGAGGGGGCAATTATTGGTAAGCAATATTTCTTATTTAATATTACTGGGACAGTAAAAGAACATTTTGACCTTAATTTATTAGTTGTTCAGTTTGGAACCTGATATAAGGACTATGCAGTTTTGTTCTTCATATTCCAAGGCCCAACCTTTATTTGATCCCTTAATATAGCTTAAATAAACAAATAAATAATTATAAATAAAACTATGGCCACATTCATAACAGTGGCCTTACTAATCCGTGGGCCGAATATGGCCAACCCACTTGAATACTTCCCAATGAAAAACATATTCAATGTCTATTAGCGGATTAGATGGCACATATTTTAGTGTGTACCATTATTTGACCCTTGGACTAGTTACATTGTAGTACACTGTTCTGAATGCGGGCAATGACCAACCTGCAATGCCTAGGGCTGCTATACCCAACCCTGCTATTATTAAACCACTCTGAAATTAGAAAAAACACATAATAACAAAGATGTTTTCAACAGGAATCAAAAACTTCAAGCAGGAGCTATAAATCAGATCTTACAAGGGGGAAATACCACTGAACAAAATGCAATAAACCGAGTTGAGAATAGACACTGGTGTCCCTTTGAGGGATATTTTTGAAAGTCAAGGCATAAATATTGAAAAACACAGTTGTACGACACTTTTGACGCTTTTCTAATGACACAATTTCTAAATTCTAGAAACATTCGTAAACCTTTTAAAGGCACGAGTCTCAATCTTTAACAACTACGCTTCAACCTTACCGCCGACTTGGGGTTCACACTACCCGATTTAACTAGATCATGCCAAATTTTCTGTCTGCCAGACATAACGACATCAGCAAAACTTTTGTTGACCTTCTACGCAAAAGTTCAAGGTGAAATTTAAGAACAGTCTATTAAAAATAGATATTTGACTTCGTGCCAAATCCTACTTGTGCGCGGACGAATAGCGTCTCAGTCGAAGCAGAATATTTACCATGACACTAGGGCCGTGGACCCTGGTTTCGGTGGGTTGCCTATCCTCTCTAAAATCCAGATTTCGATCTTACCAAAAGCTGGTTATTTTATATCTCTATGATTAATTTGTAGTTATTGCTTACGAAACTTTCAGTCGACAAGCGAAGCTCACGTTTTTAAAGGGAAGTAGATGGCGCTGACGCGTCATGCAAGACAAGTTCACCAGTTCACCGGACTTATAATAAATAGGAAAAACTCCACAAGTTGGATATTTTCCGTATTTTCAGGACATTTCTTAAGGAAAAAAGCCCACTTAATCCAAAGCAATTTGTTTTGACAACATATGTATCTTCTTATATTCATTCTAAGCCCTTTCTAAGCCTAGCTTGAGAGCGACAGTCGTAAATGGTATCTTAAATTTCATGCTAAAAATTTGGCGAGAAACTAAAAAAAGATTTCTCAACTTTTGAAGAGCTGAATGTCTATTGAAAAGTGCTTTATTTGTTGGAATTTTATTTTAAAACTGAGCAGTTTTTTATAGTCAAGCTGCTACTTTGGAGAACCTTAATGCTTGTGAAAAAGATTAAGGTAAGTGACAATCTGTCTTCTGCTACTACCCTTACGAAAATTTCCTATAGGATTTCCTATAGGANGTGGAACATTCTAAATCCCAGGGGGGGCACCTGCCCCCCCTGCCCCCCCGGAGGCTACGGCCCTGACCTTTCAATATAAAGGTAGATAAAACTTCTTTTGAATAATTTCAAACAAATATGTTAAAATAAGACGATGTTATAAGTCTTAATGAAAAATGCAGTCTGTTCTTTTTTTTTCTTTTTACTTGACAAATAAATCCTCTATTCTGCAAGGAAAAATATTCAAGCTCAGATTTGAACAGCATTGAAATACAATTCGTACCAAATAACTGCCTTGAAAACCTGCTTTCAATTTTTATCAAGAAGTAAAATATCTAATTCTAAGATGAACAGAGGTCACAATATTGAAAGCCAGAGACACATCAGACCACAAAAATGAATAAATAAAAATACAAGGTTGCACAGAAAAACCAACCTTATTCTTTTCCTTACAAAGTTTCTGAATTTTCTGAACCTGTGCAGTGTGCACCCTCTGAGTAGATCAAAAATTAGTTCTTACACAGCCACGTCTTGGATACTGTGAACTTCCTCCTGGTTCAAATCCTTTCTGATTCACATTTAGCTGCTACAGCATCACTAAATTTACTTTATATTTGAGAAATAAACAAATAAATAAACTGGAGCTGTTTGTGTGCAGTGTGCGCCCATGTCTTTCATTCAAATCCACGAATGCATAACTTTTGCCAATTCTGAACCAGGCAACATCTCAATTTTTATGAAATAACATACTCTTTGTCCCAGTTCTGTAAGCTTTTTACACTGAAATCACATGAAATGAATACTGAACACTCCTGATATGATGATGAGACTGATGATGATGTGGTGTCTGAAGATCTTTCCCTATTTGTGGGCATCTAACAAGTCTTTGGCTTCGTTTATTTTTGCTGCCAGATAGGGGGAGCCACCTGCAAAATAAAAAGGCAAAGAATTCTGGTGAAATCTGTGCTGATTATTACTTGGGCCAAAGTATGAAAAGAAACATCTGACAAGATTGAAAGATAACAATCCAACAAATGCTTAAAGATTATAAACCGTAAAATCCACACTAACAGAAGACAACTTCTTATGCACAAATGTCCTGAATCACAAAACTAAACTCTGGTGACTTTATTTCACAGGAACATTATTTTGAATAACTTCTTTTGACTTACAACTGAGTACTGAACACCCTCATTTCCAGATAAAAAGGAAGATGGCTGACAGTTTGGGGGAGAGAAGGAAGAAAATAACTGATACAATTGGTGGTGTTTTGGGGGCAAATTCCACCCCTTTAATCCTCTCCTTACTTACAAACCCCCTTTTTTTAGAGCAGAGTAAGGCCAATTTATTTCAGTTATCCTTGCACTTGAAAGAGAAAGTAGAGGATTGGCAGGCAATGTGCACTTTTCAATTTTTCAACAGCCATCGGCCACCTTCGTCAGGAGTAATATAACACTTCCACACAGCTTAATGTACTCTAAGCTGCGTGGGGATGATTCCCAATGAAGACGACTGTTAGACATTTATCTTATATATATATATATATATATATATATATATATATATATATATATATATATATATATATATATAATCTTAATACCAACCTCTGTCTGGGTGATTTGCTATCATTATCTTTTTGTGAGCATCCTTAATTTTGGCTTTACTGGCTTGTGGACTGGAAAAATATATATAACAATACTAGTATATAAAATGTGTAATATCTTCACAAAAACTATTTTAAAACTGGGAAATGTAACATATAACCAATTGATAAGACTGTATACATGTATTTCCTCTTCCTAATTTTATCTGTTTTTACTTTCATGGATGATCTATTTTTTTTTTCTTTTTGACCTTAGAAGTTGATAACAATAAAATGGTTCATATCTTGAGATTGAAACTGATCAACATGTTACTAAAGTGCTGAAGTGAACCTACCTGACTCCTAGAATGAGAGAGGCTTCCCTCTTTGTCATCTTGGCATCAAAGCCTCCCCTGTAGTATTTGCTTCCTGCCTGCAATGTGATGAAAACAGAAACATTTTATACGTGTTTATATTCAACTGATACAGAAAACAAATGACTGATACTGTTACAGTAAAATTTGAGAGGGAATAAAGTGAGAAAATGTTAAAGGCTGGCTAGTCCATAAGGGCGAAAGGTGAAATTAAGTAGCATGCCGTTGACCCGTAGATCACTCAAGTCAACCTCTCCTCCCCGCGGTACACCCTGGAAACTAGGTCCTAGCGGGCCTTGGCTAATGAGGCTCTGGCTATGGGAAGGAAAACCCTGATATATAACACCTACCGCAGGGGGCCAACAACCCTCCCGGTTCAAATGACTGTTACAGAAGCCACAGATACTTGTGACCTTATGTCCCACACGGGACGAAGAGGTATGATGATGAAGTGTGAAAATAGGAAAACCTTCTTTTTGGCATAAATAACCTACATTTATCTCTATAAAATTAATTTTCACATACTTTTTACTAACATTTTTTTCATTTATGCTGGCAGGTATGATCAAACTGTAATTCCTATACTTACAGCAGTAGGAAGGGCATCAATTTGTTTTTTTAGCATTTCTCCTGCAACTTTGCCATGTTTTGCTGCATAGCGACCTAGAATAAGTAACGTGATTAGGTTATTCAAAAGGTTTTATATTTTGTTTTATCCTTTCAACTGTTTATTATAAATGCACGTGTGTGTGTGTGTGTGTGTGTGTGTGTGTGTGTGTGTGTGTGTGTGTGAAATATTTAATCATTATTTCAGTATGTAAGATATTTAAGTTTTGCAATATAAAAAGGTCATTCAACAGGAATTGGGGGGGGGGGGGGGCAATTACTGGTAAGAAATATTTCCTGGGTCAATAAAAGGACATTGTGGCCTTAATTTATTAGTTGTTTAGTTTGGAACCTGATATAAGGACTATGTAATTTTGTTCTTCACATTGCAAGGCCTGTAACACTTTATTTGATCCCTTAATATATATATATATATATAAGCTTAAATAAATAATTATGAATACAACAATGATAACTTCATAAAACTTGTCAAAACAATATTTTCCACCAACCTGCAATGCCTAGGGCTGCTATACCCAACCCTGCTATTATTAAACCACTCTGAAATTAGGAAAAACACATAATAACAGAGATGTTTTCAAAAGGAATCAAAAACTTCAAGCAGGAGCTATAAATCAGATCTTACAAGGGGGAAATACCACTGAACAAAATGCAATAAACCGAGTCGAGAATAGACACTGGTGTACCTTTGAAGGATATTTTTGACAGTCAAGGCATAAATATTAAAAAACACAGTTGTACGACACTTTTGACGTGTGCTTTTCTAATGACGCAATTTCTAAATTCTAGAAACATTCGTAAACCTTTTAAAGGCACGAGTCTCAATCTTCAACAACTACACTTCAACCTTACCGCCGACTTGGGGTTCACGTTACCCGATTTAACTAGATCATGCCAAATTTTCTGTCTGCCAGACATAACGACATCAGCAAAACTTTTGTTGACCTTCTACGCAAAAGTTCAAGGTGAAATTTAAGAACAGTCTATTAAAAATAGATATTTGACTTCGTGCCAAATCCTACTTGTGCGCGGACGAATAGCGTCTCAGTCGAAGCAGAATATTTACCATGACACTAGGGCCGTGGACCCTGGTTTCGGTGGGCTGCCTATCCTCTCTAAAATCCAGATTTCGATCTTACCAAAAGCTGGTAATTTTATATCTCTATGATTAATTTGTAGTTATTGCTTACGAAACTTTCAGGCGACAAGCGAAGCTCACGTTTTTAAAGGGAAGTAGATGGCGCTGACGCGTCATGCAAGACAAGTTCACCAGTTCACCGGACTTATAATAAATAGGAAAAACTCCACAAGTTGGATATTTTCCGTATTTTCAGGACATTTCTTAAGGAAAAAAGCCCACTTAATCAAAAGCAATTTGTTTTGACAACATATGTATCTTCTTATATTCCTTCTAAGCCCTTTCTAAGCCTAGCTTGAGAGCGACAGTCGTAAATGGTATCTTAAATTTCATGCTAAAAATTTGGCGAGAACAACTAAAAAAAGATTTCTCGACTTTTGCAGAGCTGACTGTCTATTGAAAAGTCCTTTATTTGTTGGAATTTTATTTTAAAACTGAGCAGTTTATTATAGTCAAGCTGCTACTTTGGAGAACCTTAATGCGTGTGAAAAAGATTAAAGTAAGTGACAATCTGTCTTCTGCTACTACATTGACATTGTACTGTTTGACTTGTATTACTGTACTACTGTACATGTAGTACTCTGCAGTGCCCCTTACTTGCGATGTACTTAAGTTTTGTTGTAAGCCCTAACTAAAAAACCGAGGTAACTCTGCACTCATCTGTATCAGTCTCAGCAGAAATATTTATTTATTGTACTAGAATATATATTCTTGTGAAAGATGATTGGGACATATGATATATGTACCATTTCATAGTGCTTATACTGGTATATATTCAAACCTAAGCTCAGTGACAGTGAAATGTATTTGAAAATTAGGTAAACCTTTCTTTACTGTAAACCACACTCTCTCTAGCTCAAGCCTCCTCCTCTCTTCCTCATCAAGAACACTGATGAGACTTTTTCAGGGTCATTTGGGTCATTCTTGTGAATCGTGTAAATCCTACTTTTTCAGTGAGGACTTGTCTCATGCCTTTAAAAATGCTGTTCATTCCCTTCCAAAAATAACTTATTTCAGAGCAACAGCACAGTATGAAGCTCAGACTAGCACGTCATTTATTTGTACCTCAAGTCAAGTATTGCTGCACACACCCTCCTCACCTCCTGGTCAGGTTTGGAGTCATATCTCCAAGGATATCATCGGTGACATCAACTCACACCAGGCAGTTCAGTACCTCGCAGGCCAGGCTATCAGGAGAGGTACGCGTGAGGTTCGCCCCCAGCCCTACGGGGATGATGCATCTGGGGGGACTCAGGACCGCACTGTACAACTACTTGTTTGCCAGATCCCAGGGGGGAAAGTTTATACTCAGGATTGAGGACACTGACCAGGTATACTTGCTTTATTTATTTATTTATTTATTTATTTATTTATTTATAATTAATTAATTAATTAATCAATTGATTAATGTTTTAATTAATTCATTAATTTTCAGTTGTCTATAATTAATTCATTAGATTATTTTTTATTTATAAACAATTATTTATCTTTTTTAATCATTTTATTTATTTACTTGGAAATGATATTGTCACAGAAATGAGATCTTGCTGACATTTTCTAGAACTTATGTATATTTTCAAGCACTCTCAAAGATTATGATGAAATTAGCTTATTACTAGTCAGTTTGAGTTAAAAATGAATTTGTTTTAAGACAAAAGGCAGCAGTAACTGATATTTGCAAAAGAAACTCTGTTTGTTTTTTATGTTGACATGTTTCTTTTAGGTTTCTTCTCAGAAAATTGTTACATTTTACTACAGTTATCTTAGGTATGTCTTGTATTGCTCTTGAAGTAGAATTCCTGCCAATTATTGAAGTAAGTATAAGATTTAGAATACCAGTGTGGATTTTTTATCATGATTATTTGATAAAATGTACCATGATTTAAGGCGCTTTAAATGTTTCTGTTCAGACGCGGCTAGTTCCTGGGGCATACGAGAACATCATTGAAGTTTTGGACTGGGCAGGATTAACTCCTGATGAAGGTAAGTAATTTTTTTTAAAGAAGAATTTTTGGTCAGAATATGAATTGAACATATTGCAGTAAGCAGTTATATAAATAATATGATGCTTTTTAAAATAAATGTTGGAAGCGTTATTGATTTCTTAAAAAAAAAAGCTACTCCTGTTAATTATCACTGAATATATTCAGTAGCCTTTCTCTCTTCATTGTCTGCTTTCTCACATATGGCTCATGTTTTATTGTATTATACTCTGAGTCTTCTGTATATTTTAATACATTTTACAATCTAATTTTCTAATTTGATATCTGATTTTTTTATTGATATATGAGGCACAGAAAATAAATACAATGGTTACTATACAAACTATAAAACATTCTGTTATTTCTTTAGGCCCACATGTTGGAGGAGAATATGGGCCCTACATCCAGGTAGCACTTACCGTACTTTTCATGTTTACTGTTGAAAATAATAATAATAATAATAATAATAATAATAATAATAATAATAATAATGTGAGCTATATTTAAAGGATTTAAAAAACAGAGTAGAATTAAAAGCTCAAATGATCCATCATCTAAAAGTTTCTTTTCGTTGACTATATGTACAATGAAGATTTAAAACTGTTGATCATTTTTCTTCATCGAAAATATAGGGTGATTACCTTACAACTTTTCAATCGTTTTAAGCTAAATAAAATGATCATAAGAACTTTTGTGTCTGTTTATTTTGGATCATGATATAGATATATAGCTTTAATTTTTTTTATGATTTACTTTTTAGACGCAACGTCTTCCAATCTATCAAGAAAAGATACAGGAATTATTAAAGGTATGTGACTTTGGCTATGAAAAGAGCAAATTGAGAACCTCAGACATAAAATTCCATCTCCAAACCAAATCTGAATGCATTTGCTGAAAGTATGTGTAGTCTGAGGTCAAAGGTTGACTTAAGTTTTTCTTTTTAAGTTGGATTTCATTTAGTATTGTTATACCTAATGCCAAAGATAAAGACAATGTTTTTCCAATACATAAAGTACGTTATTACAAATATTTTTTTTCCTGAGACCACTATATATCACCCTGAGCTTCAGAGCTAACTTGACACTAACCTTTTCACTGTAGCCTATCTCCATCGTGTCAAGTAACCTCTGACGAAATAGTTTGACCTAGTTTATATAAGCCAATCAAATCCATGTTTCAAAAATTTTCACCAAAGTTTGGTGAAAACGCTGATTGGTTGACCGTCAATCGGCAATCCTCGGCTGATTCCGCAAGCTCCATACTAACAACATAGTTATTGTCGAGTGCGGAGACATCCGAGTAGTTCCGAGTGTATTACCGTACACAAAGAAAGCAAGGCGAGTGACTACGAAAAAGAATGTGTTAAGTTATCTCTTGATTCTTTGCAAAATATGAGTAAATCGGAATTGAAACCATAGGGTCTAGCAGTTTGAGGCCCTGCATCATTATCTACTGAGAGACGATGTTATTTGCGTGCTGCCCACAGGTTACGGCAAGTCCCTGATATTCAGCCTTATCTTTGATTGGTCCGGATTTGAACAAAGCGCGCTTTGACTCGTTCGCGTTCATTGGCTAGATCGTTTAATGAGTCATTGAGTGCGGGCTTTTAAATTTGATTGGCGGGCGGCGGAGGCAATCGAATCTGGTCAGAGGTTACTTGACACGATGAAGATAGGCTACAGTGAAGAGGTTAGTGTCAAGTTAGCTCTGAAGCTCAGGGTGCTATATATTAGATACCTGGGGATGTGTGCTTTTTAGATCTTGTTTTATGTATAAACTTTTCAAGCTTAATCCTCCTTATTTTATTTGCATAACATAAGCCTGTTTCGTGCTATCATTATGCTAAACATATTATTATTATTATTATCATTATTATTATTATTATTATTATTATTATTATTATTTCAGACAGGTGCAGCTTATAAGTGTTTCTGCTCAGAAAAGCGGATTCATCTGTTGAAAAAAGAGGCGGCTAAGATGAGGGAGGTGTTTAAATATGACAACAAGTGTCGCTCACTCACCCCAGAAGAGGTTGAGAAAAACATGGCCAATGGTCTGCCCTACACGGTCAGGTTGAAGGTATTAATTATCTATGGTGTGAGATGGGTCTGTATTTAGTGTGTAAAAAACCTGGACCATTTATAGCTACTGGTACACAAATATGAACAGTAACATTAATTAATTAATTTTATTTGTTCTATTGTAATTGATGAATTAATTTTGTTGTATTTATTTATTTATTTATTTATTTATTTATTTATATAATTAATTAAGTTATGTATTTATTTGTTCTATTATTTTATTAATTGTAAAAGATGATGGCAGCCTTTGGGATAGTATTTAAATCCAAATCTTATAAAACTTAATTCAAGGATGAATGAATGGTTCAATCTTGACAATGTAAGAATTTGAAGTGAGGCCATTTTTATATTAATCAAAAGAGAATATTATTTTTAAGCGCATCCAGCAAATTGATTTTTGCAACTATTTTATTCTAAATGATTATATTTTATTTTGATTTTTAAATACTTCATTGAAATCAACCCATTAAGGAGAATATTTCATTGATTTGTTTTGTGAGGCTAGCTATTGGTCAATATTTCAGTTGGAGGATGTCAAAAAGCCCTGGAATGACATGGTGTTTGGACCCCTCTCTTCTGACATAGCTAACCATGAAGGGGATCCAGTGAGTCTCTCTCTCTCTCTCCCTCTCTCTCTCACACACACACACACACACACACATATTTCTGTATCAGCTAACCAAGCTTTGAGCTCTGTTCACAACCGTGTTAATCCTTGGACTAACTGATTTGCAGATAAAATATAGCCAACCCACTTGAAAGCTTTCCGTGCCCACTCAGCTGACAGCTATTTAGCGTGAACCCCCAGGGAGTTAGGTCGATCTAGTTGGATCGATCTAATCTCTGGGAATGGGGTCTTTCTCACACCTCACAGTTTGGTACATGTACTCCTTAAATTAAAAAAAAAATTATCAAGAATTTACAAAATTCAGCCTTGTTATTTATGATTCCTCTTTGGATGGATGAATTTACATCTATTTAAAACATTTTTTTTTTACTTTTCAGGTGCTCATGAAGAGCAGTAATCAACCGACTTATCACTTTGCAAATGTTGTTGATGATCACCTGATGAAAATAACACACGTTCTACGAGGAGTGGTAAGTAATGTGTCTGGGGCCTATTTTATTTAATATGCTCACTCATTTTCACATAACATAGCAAAATGTTGGATTTTTTTACCTTTAATTCTTATTACAATCTAATGAGTGTTCAGTAATTTTAAAAAAATATTTACAAAATCTTAACACTGCCAAATAATTTATTTGTTTATTAATTTATTTAATTATTTATTTTTTTATTTATAATTATAATTTTTTTTTTTGACATTGAATGTGGGGCCAGTATATGTTAAGATTACAGACTTCTATTCATCGAAATCTAAGAAGCACTACTGTAACATTGCTTTGCTATTATATTTCTCCAGGAGTGGCAAGGATCCACCCCCAAGCACCTGCTGTTGTACAGAGCATTTGGTTGGGAGCCGCCAAGATATGCGCATCTTCCCTTAATTGTCAACAGGTACAAATACAGACACGTAGCCAGGGGGGACTCGAGGGGTTTGAAAGAAAAAAGGGAAAAATCCATTCTGGGGTTCAAGGGATTCGAAAGAAAAAAAGGGAAAAAGTCCATTCTGGATAAAATTTGATCTAGGTACATGTGGGTTTGATTGTAAAAGGTCTACTTTTTCAGAAAAAGAACCCCAATTTTGAAATTGCTGGCTACAGGCCTGAAACATAACTATATAGGCACAGAGCTAAGTCTGAATTGGTTGAGATCTTAAAGGTAGAAAGGGCAATATCTTAAAGTTTAACGTACATTTTTATGTGCAGAAATGGAGTTTCTGAACATGTTTGTTCAACTGTCACCTTCATCTGGTGATGTTGCTATGTACTATTAACCATAAACACAATAAATGGAAAAATTATTAATTTTTGCTTATTTTGTCAGTGCCATTTTTTGGATTTATTATTATTACTTTTATTATTATTATTATTATTTAGGTAGAAATCAAAAGTTATAATTTTGGATGATAATCATGATGACAGCCGTGTGTCTTAAGTTTAAACATTTCTAGTGAACTCTATGCACAGTAGACACTGATTTTGTGTACATTTGTGAGGAAATGGGAAATTTTCAATTTTGCTTATTTTGCTCAGAGTATTGGAGTTTTGCTTTCAGATTTAAAGAAAAAATTCTAAGTTTTAATTTCAAGATTTTAAGGTATTTTTCTTTTTCATGAAAGATATTTATTATATATTATGACCTTGATTTTCAGTAGTGGTAAGAAGTTTTCCAAGAGACAAGATGATGTGAGGGTGGAGCATTACATGGTAAAGCTACACTCTTTTTGTGACTTTGAAACAATATAAAGATTAAATGAAAGGCAAAACTTTATAACAAGTGATAGGGGGCTCAAATCTTGCAACTGAACTTCAGCACAATCAAAAGTTATGGATGATTCCTGACCAGTGATATTTTTAAAGAATATAGTGTCTTGTGAACATACACAAGTAAGATTATATTTAAATTCAGTTTCATTTTATTTCTGTACTGGTACATAGATTATGATGACCTTGTAAAATATAATAAACTAACAATAGTGCAATTGGTGCGTTGCCATTTCTCTAGTTGGTAATTGTGTTGTCAGTTTGTGGATGGAAAAATATATACCTTTATATAATGAAAAGAGTACTAAAAATAGTTAAATTACTTGTAACATATTCTAGCTTAGTTAGCTTATATTCAAATTATTATTATTATTATTTTAGAAAAACAATTACATCCCAGCTGCTGTCCTGAATCTGATCACAATGGTGGGTGGAGGATTCACAGAGAATCAACCTAGTGGAAGGACTTTGGAAGAGCTGGTGCCTTTAGTAAGCGTTATAATAAATTTTTACAGAGAACAAAGTCGGGAGAAACTTAGATTTTTATCTAATATTTATTCATTAAACTTTATTGATTGAGAGTTTTAAAGTGGTAAATTTAACATTTATCTTTTCCTTGGCCCTCAGGGCCTGAATATGAGAAAAATGCCAAGGAGATTACTCTTTTCACTGTGCTTTTGAATCCTAGGTGGAATTTTTTGTCTTACTATAATTATTTGTTTACTTTTTATTTCCTATTTATATTTTCTAGATTTATGTTTAAATTAAGAGCAAATGGCACATGTATACCTGATGACACATTTTTAAAACTTAAATACTAATAGGTTGGGGAATTAATTTTTTATAAAAGTTAAAAGATTTTGTGTTTGGTTTTGATATCTTTTATTTTCTTTTATTTTCAGTTTACAATCTCATCTATCGTCCAGAGTCCAGGGAAGTTGAAACTTGAGAGAGTTGATCACATGAACAAACTTCACATGATCAGAAAACTACAGGATCCAGCTGAGAGAATGGAACTCATTAACTCACTAAGAAATGTAGTAAAAACGAAATATTCTGGTAAAGGGTAAGTTTATGAATGAACCAGGTCAGTATGCTGGGGTGGAGTGGAGGGGTTAGAAAGAAGCACTCTTTTGGTTGTAAAACATATGCACTGAGTGAGTGCCATTTCTCAGTTTGGGAGTTTGGGTTGAATTAGAGGCTAAAAAGCTTCACTTTTTCCAAAATTAAAAGAAAAATAGATGGCTGCAGTGACAGATTTTTTCCAGACAATAAACTTGATTTCGATTTCATATTTCAAAAAATACCAAAGCTCATTACACAGCTTTTTGTACAAACTTAAATGTAAGTTCTTTATTTTTTTATATTTCTGCCCTGTCATATGATTCTAGTGCTTGGTGAAACCCATAATATCCAAAAGAATGAAATGTTGTGAGTAATCTTTGTCAGAAAGTTTAAATACATATTGTGTCTTTTTTGAATTTGTAAGGATTGTATAAAATTTGATATTGAAATCTGATATTGCCATTTCAGAGAAATGATTGAAATTGATGAAGATGTCTTAACTGATGAATTTATTGGAAAAATATTTGATAATTTCCTGCAGGTAAGCTAGAAATCACAACATGAAAAATAATGCAACCTCTTTTGAATGAGACCATCACTTTCAGGGGCCTAAAATGACCAGAATCATGATAATCTGTAGTCATTTCATCTAGCCATTTTCTTTTTATTGAGGGCACTTTAGGCATCAGTGAGAGAAACAGTGTTATCAGTTATGTATTAAGGTCATTGGAGTTTATAATTAGTACCCTCTTTTGGCTGTGACAAGCCTTTAGTTTAGCATAGACTACAATACTGGCATCTTCAGCTTTTCATTAGAATTAATTCTTAAGCCAAATGTAAGTTAGTCTAAGAGAAAGATTTCATCAGCCGTGTTATGTTATAAGAGATAAGTAATTTTTCTTCAGTCAACAGCTCATATGGAAATTATGGACCTCTTTCTTTCCACCTTTGAACAAGTCTTGAGTAATGTAGATTTTATCTTAGATGCAATAAAATATGATTTTTATCATATTTCCTATTTATTACATCTAGGAAATTCATTTTTTGAGTCACGACATATTTTGTTAATTATTATTAATTCTCCTAGGAAAGAATTTGTAGAGTCGAAGACTTTGTCAAAGACGACTGGGAGTTTCTGTGGACAAGACCAACCAAAGTGTCAGTGAAAGAGATTCAGTCCATTCTTCAGAACGAACCAAATATGTTTTGGGATTTGTGCAAGGAGGTGGAGAGTATGCCAGAAAGCGAGTTCACACAGGAGAAGTTTTTGGCAAGACTTAAAGAGTTTGCTAAAAGAAATAATTACAAGATAGCTCACTGCATGAAGCTGCTGAGACAAAGCATAAGTGGAAAGGTAAAAAGTTTTCTTTTTTTTTCTTTTGAAAAAAGAAGTTTTTACATGCTGAATTGTGTGTGTTGGGTGATCATTACTGTTACAGTAGCTGATCAGAGGGAAGAAAATTTGGTGCTTGTTTTCAAATTAACTTGATTTAATTAAATTGGATCAACTTTCAAATTATGTTTGACCAGTGAAGAGGCTGATCAAATGGAAATTAAAGGTTAGAACTTTTTGTGCAGTGTTCATTTTTCCCATCACACTGCCATATGAATTAAGTGAGGTATATGACAAATCACTATTTTTGCCCAGCCATTTTTAATTTTATTAGAGACATGTTTTCACAGAGAATGAGAAATTTTGTGAAGACTCTTGTTTGGATAATTGTAAGTTGATATTTCAAGCCACATTTAAGTATTTTTTATTCTTCCAGACTGGTCCACCTGTCGCTGAAATGATTGATGTTTTAGGAAAGAAAATAACTCTACAGAGACTGCAGTACTTTTCACAACAGTTAGAGACATGAGGAAAAAAAACTGTGGTCTCATCTTGGCTTGCAGACAGTGCCATCTATACACTAAATACGACTGGACTAAGGCAGGGAGACCATACCTTGGATTATTTTAATGAGAAGGCTGGCGGGTAGGGGAGGGGGGGGTTGTGGCGTCTCAATAGCTGTCACTTTCTTCGAAACTTATGATATTACAGAAGCTGCAGATGGTTAAAAATTCTACAAAAACATTTCATACTGTGAGAGTAATTGCTTATATGAAGTTTTTAATAAATGAATACCCTTTATTCTATATTGACTATTTATCCAAAATACAGACAAAAATTTGTGTATAATGGCTGAAATACCTAAGTGTATCATGTCAGCTCAAAAACAGTGACCTAAATATTTCCTGATGTATTAAGAATCAACAAGTAAGCCCAAATTGTGACATTGCCTTAAACTTTTTGAAAATGTCTAAGTACAGTAAGCTTGGATGTATTCACTATGTGATCAAATTTGGTCAATATCATAGCACAGATATAATTATGATCATAGAATGCGAATATTTAAACCTTGTTCATGACAATCATAGTCTCCTCACTATTTCTTTCTAAAATTATATAAATACTTATCAAAAAACATTTAAAAATACAGTAACTTTTACAGCCTTGGTGTATACTACAATTCTAAAGCTATACAGTCCAGATGTATGAGGAATCATGGGGTTTGGGTGATTAAAAAATCAATTAAATGTACAAATTTCCAGTGACTAAAATAGATTTATAACCCTCTGACCTACATTATCAAGTACAAAGTTCTGAAATGCAGCATAAATGCCCCCTGGAAACTTCATGTGGACTTTTGTCTATATATATATACAGTCCAATCTTACTAGAGAAATATAAAACTGTCTAACATTTTTCGTTGTAACTCCTTAAGCTGGCACAGCTATGAACTCCAATGATATTATGTATATACATTCTAAGTACTATCTATTGAATAATTCCCACCAATTTAAGTCATTTCAAAGAAAACTTTTCTTTTGTACTTAAACATCAAGTATGTTCATTTTGTAAAAAACAAAAAAGAGACAGAGAAAATACTGCATTCAATTTGGCTTCAGTAATTGTTTGCAAGCAAAGATTGTGAAGTAAAACTAATTAATAACAAAGAAAAAAAAAGGAAACATTTATTTGAAAAAAAAAAGGCATAACCTCCACCCCACCCACCCATTTGTAATAAATTATATGAAAATACTGGGTAAACTGACATTTTCACCTGGAGCGTCATAGTCACATGGATGTCAAAATAGTTCAGCCGTCTCCTAACACGTTACCGACTAATCACATGGTCAGGTGAACACACCCCTCCCCCCACCCCCACCCCTCCACCCTGAGTTTCACAGCTTTTCTATACTTATAACAAAGGATCAGTTTTCTATGGATCACAGTGTTTGGATACATATGCTGAGTCTTCCTAATGATAAGGGGACACGCCCACTCCATCTGTCAACCACGAGGAACTGATGACACTACAGTCAATGACAACAGCCACTGTCTGAGTTGGGATTATGATAACCAAGAGAGAAATTAAAGAAGGGAACAAATCTTCCATCAGTCAGGGACCTGATACATGTATAAGGACCAATCAGATTATTTTTTTCCTTCTTTTATAATGCTTAAAGGATGTAATCAGTTCATGTGGCTTCATCTCAGCTCTCTTCTCCTGCTGATCTTAAGATCTAAATCTGTTAAAACTTGAAAATTTAATTGGTCTCAAAAGTTTTGTCTAAAGATGATTCTCCCCCGATGTAAATTTTTTCACTTTGAAAATTTCATCAAAATTGCAAATGGGCCTCTTGGATATTTTGCAAAGATTGTCACCTAATGTAGCCTTGTCAGATTCACACATTTCAAAATATTAATTCATTTTCAAGTGCCAAATATTTTCAATTTTTTAACATGTTTTGCAGATGTCCTTTGTTATATATTTAACAGTTATGTCAATTTTAAACATCTGTAGAACTCAACCCCCCCCACCCCCATCCCCAGTGGTTATGGATACTTAAGGTGTAAGGAAGACATATCATCACATTTCTCCAAAACTTGATCAATTGGCACCCTGCTTGTAAAACTCCTGATTGGCATTAATTGTGGTATAAACTGTATTCTGTTATGACACGAAGTAGCCTGATACAGGGATGAGACCCGTCCACACTGAGAAAGTAGGAAAATTGACTGGGGTCCAGGGTACACAATTCACAAGAATGACCCAAATGACCATGAAAACATCGGAATTCCAACAAAAGTCGGAAAAGTCTCATCAGTGTGATACTCAGGGTGACCAGAGGGTAGTCCAATACCCTGAAACTCAAAGAGATGGTGAAGTCTACACAGTCCATCTTCTGAACAACAGGGTGATAAACACAGTGGACACATTGACAGGGATGAGGCTGACATTTAGTGAAAAAGTCTGAAAATATGGCGTGGCATTCAGACATACACCCCTCCCCCACAACCAGTTTTTATTGCAGATCAGCATTGGTCTCAAAAATGATATTTTTGGCTCCCAAAAAGTCGATAATCTGCAGATAGTTGGAAAAATCTAATCCCTGCACTAAGTATAATAACAAGTCGAGAAGGAAATAATCCAAACTTTTGACATCCAGGATGAAAACATCATTTAAGACAGACATATTCTGGCTCTTTAACCATTTCCGAACTGGTTCTCACCAAAAGTCACAATCATCACAGTAATATTATCAAAGGCCCCTTTTTCATACGCTGCCCACACCAAGTCACTAGCACCAAAATCTGCCTCGTGAAGTCGCTGCTCGATGAATTTCACCGCATCCTCATTGCTGAACATGTCCCATAATCCATCTGTTGCAAGGATGATGAATTTGGGTCGAAGTTCTTTCAGGTCAAATGTCAGTACGTCTGGCTTTGCGATCACCAGGTTGTTAAGTTTGAGAGGATAATCGCCCAAAGCTCTGGAGACTGCCAGAATGCCAGCGACTCGCCATACACCTGTGAAAGAGATAAAGCCGCCTGCTTCTTCAATCCTTTGGCGTTCTTTTACCTGAAAGAGAGACAAAAACATGTAAATAATTAAAATTTCCAAATTTATTTTGGGATAAAAATCTGTCGTATTAACTGCAAAATTATTTTGTCAACCAACACAAACAGCACTGAATTAAGATTTTCTGCATGTGAAATCATTTGAATTAGTGATATTTATTTTTTCTTTGTAAGAGCTTCTTTAAAATAACTGTATAAAATATAAAAATTAGGAGCCATTGAAATGAATAAAAATTTGTATTTTAAATCATTTAACTATGTTAATGCCTTACAAAGTCAACACACTTGTTTTCACTAATAAATATTACAAAACACTTAGCAGGTACAGACATATCTTTGCCATTTATAATTTAAGCATCCTGATAAAAAGACTATTTTTTCCTCTGGATGCTGAACGTATTTACACTTATTAATTTTTCTATCATCACTACTTCAAAGATAATGATAATGATAATATCAAATGATTTCACTCTGACTTAACAGTAGTTAATGTGTCCATACCTGATTTGGTTTATGATCAAAAGAGAGCGCCACTGTCTTCCCATCTTTATCACAAAGGACTCCCCGAGAGTCGCCAACATTTGCAACGGTCAGCTTGTTTTTATTCAATATAGAGATGATAGCTGTGGTCCCTGAAGATTATAACACAATAATTATCAATCTTTGCCACATATCTTTTAACCTACTGGGCCCAGTTTTGTGAACACTAGATGGCTTTATATCCTACGGATAACACTATCCATTCAATGGATAAAATTATTGTCCTCTGGACAGTTATCCTGTAGGTAAAGTTGTTTCCCAAACATTTGTCTCAGCTATCCAGTTGACAAGAATGTCAGGTATCCTTGGAATAACTGTCGATAGGTTGGCCATTCTATCCACTATCTACTGTTAATGAAACTGGACCTTTTGAGCAACCAGGATCTAATGAGATTATTCTGACCCACGACAGAGGCCAGTTATTGGTCATACATGTACTGGACACTTAACACAATTTTTTGNATTGATTGAACTCAATTCCTAAACCCCTTACGGGCCTCACCTCTCCTCCATGTCCATCGAACACACCGTACACAGACGTCCCCGTCCTCTCCACATCTGAGACAAAATTGAACCGATCTTCCATCTGACCTCGCCGACCTTGGATTGCCACTACGGCAACATTGTCTTTAACGACTTTCCAGGTGGTCTTGTCTTCGTCAGATGCTGATATTATGTCAATGGGCTCTGGAATATCAACACTACTGAAGTGTCGAAACCAGGTGAATTTCAACGTTCGGATAACTGTGTACATGATGAACGGCCCGTATAAAAACATCGCGTAAAGAAGAAATGACAAGCCTGCAACTAATGCAGCCTCTTGGCTGATGAGAACTCGCCTCACGTACGACATAATATAGGGATATCCTCGCTGTAAATCCATTTTCAATGCGAATATTTAAGGAATTTATGAGTTCATCCACAAAAATATCGCACCCCCACCTCCATGGTTAAGGGTGCATTGTGGGATATGTACGCATGCGCAGCAGTGATGAGGAGAGGTGTAGATTTTTACCTTTTGTGGAATATATGTACACTTTTGCTGTTTTTAGCATTGGTGATTTATTTATTTAGAACATTCCTAATGTGAGAAGAAACAATAGTGCACTTAGGTAGGTTTGATATTCACAGTAGAAAAGAAACGGATATAAAACCAACTTTCGTTCCCTAGATTCGACCCTGACCTTGTAAACATTTTGACAAGTGGCATGACATAATAAGTAGAGATTATGGGATTTCACGATTCTTTTTGATAAATTATTCTATTTCTTTGCTGTATTGTTCTCTTCAGAAGACAAAAGGCAACTCCATAAATCTGTAACTTTTTTTTGTCTTCTTGCCTCTTTTCAGCTCCAGTGCCAAATACAGAATCTGTGATATTAAGTGTTACCTTGTCCAAATAATGACACAGCTATTTCTGCCCAAGAACACATGTATTCTCTCATAGCTGATATCTATAGCCTTGTAAAATGAATATATGAAACGAGGAATTATGGCTACTGAAAGTAAAAGTGATACTGCGGTGGCAAGTGGAACAGCAGGAGTTGATGTGACACACCTTAACTCACTGCTGAAGTTTGTGGAGACAGAAACTAATTTTACAGATGACAGGGTAAATAATTAATTAAATGTGTACTTTGTCATTGTTAACAAAAGCGGTCGCAAAATAAAATTTATTTGTGTAACTGTCATCCATATCTTTTGTCATTCAGCATGCTTTACAATGATTTATAAAAATTGTTTTATATAATAATTGCTTTATTTATCTATTTTATTTTACTGTATGTTATTCATTATTTATTATGTATGTGTGTTATGAATCTTGGATAAATTAATGAAAGCCAAATTAAGTATATACTTAATTTGTGTACCAATAAACTTACTGTATCAAGTTAAATTACTTATTGGAATGTAAACCAAGTCTGTGACATTTATTGGCCAGGGATTTACAATCATTTGCTGCATTTTACAACATGTACACATTAAAGCTTTTATTGCCTTATAAATGTAAACCATTTATCTAATTGTCTAATTAAATAATTGTATTTTTAATTTATAGAAATATGCCAGTCGTGATCCCAATGCACGTAACTATGTGGTGGATATTACCCGCGCCAAGTCAGCCTACAACAGGCTGGAGACAACGACCAGATTTGAGGAGCTGAAACTGACTCTCCCAGCAGACAGTGAGTGTTTTATTATATGACATTTATCATACATCTTTATTTCTCTGGGGTGGCAGAAGCATTTTCTTCCTTCCTTTTTTTTAATCAAATCACTACTTTTTCATCACTTTCTTCTCCAAATGGTTTAAATTTGGCAAATCAAGCCAAATCAACCCTATGTTGTTTAGGCAATTTAAGTCAGTTCAAGTATTTGGCTAAATTGGCAAGTGACAGCACTATCCCAGCGACTAATACAAGGTTGCAAGGTTTGACTGAAGTTTGTTTGTCACTATCCAAGATCTCCATAACTACTCCATTTTTTTTAGCTTTGTCTTACTGATTCCAGGTGAGCTTTATAGTGTATGTTTTAGCCAGTTTTTTTAGGAAATTTTGGTACAAAGGCCTGGGCTCCATATGTTGATTGTTTTTTTAGAGAAGAACACTCATTGTGTTTGATTGAGCTTTTGTTGCACATCCAATGCAATTTACCAATTGGGATTCCAGCATTCTGGACCAGGTATTTGTATTTTAGATGTTCTGTTTGCAGAATTGATTTTTTTTAAATGAGATCAGCATGGGTTTTTATGTAGAGGCACAGGATAATTGGAATTTTAATTCAGTTCTGATGGGCCTGAGGCAGCACCATAGCTGATTGGTCAGAGATAATTTAGAACCCAGGCTCGTGTCTAATTAGAGATAAGCATTCCTCTCTCTCTCTTTTGCTCTTCCTATGTGTGTGTGTGTGTGTGTGTGTGTGTGTGTGTGTGTGTGTTGGTGTGCGTGTGAGTGCACTGGAACATTAAAAAATTCAATGATTACTTATCCTTTATGTTAAACAAGGTTTAATTTACGTTGCTTATTGATTGGAAAGGTGTATATTCATGTTTTATCACTATAAAGCAGAGATTTCATTCTTTAAGGGTTATTAATCTTATTCAAATATGGCATAGAATTGCTAGGAGTGAGGTATTGATCAGGAAGCAGGAGGTAATTATGGAATCATTCAGTAAAACAGAGGTGGGGAATAGCTGTAAATTTTTGTTACACAGTCGNACTGTAAATTTTTGTTACACAGTGGGGATCAATATCTGTAGTGCTCTATTGAATTTTTTCTTGCCATTGAACCGGATTCTGCATTTTGCACCTCCTGGTCCATCTCATTCTTGTATACTTATTATTATTATTATTATTATTATTATTATTATTATTATTAAATTTAGTTTTCAAAAACAATGCTTTGGTGGTTTACTGCAGTAGCTTTAGAAGAAGACAATCCAGAAGTGTTGAAAAGCATTGTAAATTCTTGACAAACAATTTTTTTAAAATTTAAAATGGCTAAATGATAAATTAAAAAAAAAAAAAATTCATGGAATTACTAGTAATCAGGTATTCAAAAATTGAGGATAATTACCGTAAGACCGTTCTTCTGATCTCACTTATGATATGATTTTTGAAAAAAAATTATCTCTTGGAATAAAAAAAAGTGTTCAAAATTTGAGGATAATTACCATAAGGTCACTCCCCTAATCTCACCTATGATATGATTTTAAGAAAAAATTCTTTGAAGAAAAGAAGCATTCAAAATTTGGGGATAATTACCATAAGGCCATTCCCCTGATCTCACCTGTGATGTGAATTGATTGGACCTGTCTCTGACCAGCAGAGTATTTCACAGAATTCCATTAGCTGAGAACTTAATGCATAGAAATCAGTGAAGTTTGACAAAAGTTCATTAAAAGGGAACTTGAGCCACAGGGCCCTACAGAGCATGTAATGATAATTCTTTACATTAAATCTGTCAGACTTGTTAGATTGGTAAGTGTTAAGAGTACACTGTTGGAATTTTCAGAGACGAATTGATAAATAGTTAGATAAATGAGTAAGAAATGAATGAATTAATCTTTAAATAAATTGGTGTTGACCAGAAAAACATTGTTGTTATGAAGATTTCCCAATTACTTAATTACTGATAAATTTTCGTATTAAAGTTGACAATATTTTTTAACTCAGTGATTCCCATGGACTTACCTATGATAGCAAAGCTGTTTTCATGTATACAGTGTTAAGTTGATAAGAAGTTTAGAAAAGATTAGAAGAGTATTACACTGATAAGAAGTTTATGAAAGTTTAACACTACTAATTATCCCTTGGGAACATGACATGTTAAATCACCAAGAAAAATAAAAAAGGTCATGTACAATAACATTCCTGTACAAAAGCCTCAAGTTTATCAAAGTTTTGAGCAATAGATTAAAAGAGGTTTCCCTGTAGCATTTCCTGTTAATTCTGGTGTGTTGTATGATGTTACAGTGCCCAGATGGAGGTAGATGACTTTTTGATGGAAATACGAAATGGGAAAACAGTGTTAGCTGACAGCTGTTGTGTCAGAGTTAATGACATTGCTGCTAGACTACTGTGGTATGAGAGGTGGGAAAACTGAGATTTTTTTCTTCATCTTTTCTTCCCTTTTTCTTTTCTGTCTTTTTTTTTTCTTAATAATGTCTTTTTGGTAAAGAGGAATTATTTATCCAGCTTTTATCATAATATTTACATAAGACTGAAGATGTTTTCAATATTTGCATTGTGCTGTTTACAATATAAAATTTAAAGACAGTCTCAGCGCGTTAAACCCTTAAAATAGCACGAAAATGAATTTTCCTGGAAATCTCACCAATTTCCCCATAATGACCAAGGTATATCCTATCCAAAACCGTTGAGAAAATGAACCTACCTAATACCGTTTTTAAGTTCCATTAAATAATAAAAGACGACTCGTCTTAAATACTCAGCTACCACCTCACAGTACGGCTTCAGAACGCGCAATTTCTCGCTAAGTCTCGCGGTTTACTATGAATGAAGTACTACGGCTGAGACCCGGATGTTACTATTTGGCGCCAAAACAGCAAACATGGCTCAGACGCGCGTCAAGTCTGAAGAGGAGAGCGACAAAAGGGGACGAAAGAAAATAGCCACTCCAGTTCGAAAGATACGAAAGAAAATTAGAGACAGACGAAGAAGCACTCAGACTGTGTATGTTGGGAGGGAGGTGGGGCGGTGGAGGACACTTAAAGCTGAGTTAGGACTCACATACGAGGCAATGGCGAAACTACTCCTCGACACGTGAGTATGCGCTTCACAGGTCTCAAGTGTGTCTGATTATCATATTATCCTGTTCACAATAAATGACAATATTTGTGCTCATACAAAGTTGGTTACGTGTATAAGAGCGTTTTGGGCTTTACGTT